AAATAAAATAAAATAAAATAAAATAAAATAAAATAAAATTCAAGGTCAAAAAATAAAATAAAACAAAAGGTGCTGGAGAGTCAAGAGCCATATATGATTTATGTATACTCCATGTATATAACTAGAAGATACCAGAAGTTCTGTAGTGTGGTCCTATTATGCACGTCATCTGTCATATTTCAGATTATTTGTTCATCGCGATGCTGTGTTCTTGTCTTGACATGCTCTTAGGAGGTGGAAACCATCCCCTGCTGGTACCCTATGATACACTGACAGCCAAAGAGAAAGCCAAGGATAGGGAAAAAGCACAGGACATCCTCAAGTTCTTACAGATCAATGGATATGCTGTATCCAGGTAAAAGCACACGTACCAGTATATACCCTTGTTATAAAGACTGACCGTTTAAATATCCCCATCATATTTAATGTTGCAAATGATTCAGGACCCGTTTAAATCTTAGTGCTACTATTTAGTATGTTCAAAATAAACACATCAGAAACATAAATGCCCTTGACTGTTTACCACCTACCTGATTCCTTTCACTACTTAGGTTAAATCCCATCCATCATTTAGGCAAAAATTGGGGGCAGAAATGACCCACTGTTTCTCTAAAGTGAGTCTTTTTTTTTTTTTTTTTTTTTTTTTTTTTTTTTTTTTTTTTTGCATAGTAATAGAGTTACTCACTACAGTTTTATATCATATGCAAACTATTCCTTATAAATTAAATCTCACTTTTGCCTGTAGCTACAAGAATATTAGGTAATGTTCCATATTTGTATATACCATTTATACTTTTTAAGCAAAATTTTACCTTCCAGTAGTCTGTGTAGAAACTGGTTTCCATGTTTCATTTTTGCTGCTCTAGGGGATTCAAGGACCTGGAATTGGACACACCTTCCATTGAGAAACGATTTGCCTATAGTTTCCTTCAGCAACTCATTCGCTATGTGGATGAAGCCCATCAGTATATCCTGGAGTTTGGTAGGTACCTACATCAGGGTATAGAACAGCACAGTCTCCTGGGCTGTTTATGGTCTGTTCCCTGGTGGTATAAACACTTTCTATCCAACCTAGTACTAAACAGAATCTAGCAGTCAGTAGGCAAACACATTTTTAGGGATGGCATAATTTACAGAACTTAAAAAAAACCGAACACATCATTCTTTTCTCCTTACAATGTTTATTGGCATTGATTTTTTATTTTGAAAGACCCGTTGGATGGATATCCCAATCTAAGGTACAGTTAAATCTTCCCTTTTGAAATTAATTGCCATGCTCTTGAAAAAACAGAAACTGTGCGTCCCCAAACTTTCCAGGCAATGAGAAGCCCTCAAGTTTATCCTGTGTATGGATACACATTTATAGTAGAATATCTGCAATGCAGAACACTTTACTTAGGGTCTTGTTAGAGTAAAATGAAAGACCTCCTCCCCCCACGTGGCCCACCAACTATGAAAAGAATTCCTTGTTTTAACTCTTAGATTCAGATTTTCAAGACAGCCTCCTCTCACTTCTGTTATTTCATGATTGTCCTGAGTACCATTGACTTGAAATTCAAGTTGTTAGTTACCCAGCTTCATGTCGGGTCGTCTTCAAGCCACCAGTTGGTATTAAGATAGAAGGAAGTAGGATCTGGCCCCTTTGGAAGAACAGAGTGTTCTGGTGATTGTCTTTTCAATTTCTTTTTCATGCTTTTTTTCCTCTGTTTTTATTTTTGTTTTTTAATCCTCATTCTTTCTCCTTTTCAATACTTTCCCCCAGCCCATCATCCTCGCCTTAGCAATAAACTCATCCTCAACAAACCGATCCTGACGAAGGAGTCTTCTTTACTACTGTTTTCTTAGAATTTAGGACTTAGTTTTTGGCACAGTGTCAGATTAAAGTTCATAGAAATTTGAGCTCTGGAATTTACTTGTTCCTGGTCTCCCATATCCCAAATGCGATTAAAGATTTTCCAGTTGAGTGTCCTTCTCTTAAAGAACTTGCTCTCTCAATCTGTTCTTTATCTGCAGTGCGGATGCTGTGCCTTGGCACTCTTCTTAACTACCTTTTTTCACAAAAGCCAACCGTGCATGGGGCGCCTGGGTGGCGCAGTCGGTTAGGCGTCCGACTTCAGCCAGGTCACGATCTCGCAGTCCGTGAGTTCGAGCCCCGCGTCAGGCTCTGGGCTGATGGCTCAGAGCCTGGAGCCTGTTTCCGATTCTGTGTCTCCCTCTCTCTCTGCCCCTCCCCCGTTCATGCTCTGTCTCTCTCTGTCCCAAAAATAAATAAACGTTGGAAAAAAAAAAAATTAAAAAAAAAACAAAACAAAACAAAAGCCAACCGTGCAAACTAATTTACAGTATGTAATCTTTTTGTAGGTCCTGCAATGATTTTTTAAAATTTTTTAATGATTTTTTTAATATGATTTATGAATCATTCTGAAAAGTAGCCACATTAGTCTCAGTTAATGAAATTTGATCCAACAAACAAAAATGAAGCTATGGTGAATTTTTAAAGCTCTTATGCACGCAAATTAAATATTGAAATTTCTCAGGCACATTTAAGTGTATCTGAGATGAGTGGCAACTCAAGTTTACTCTTCTTTTTGGCAAGAGAGAAGAGAGAAAGCAAAATCAAGGGATTAAGGAAAAAAAAACTTTTTAAGCTCGACATGGGTAACAGAAACAGAAATTCAGAGGGTAAAATGTGTTTGGGTTTTCTCCCCACTGTGTTCAAGTTTCTGAATAAAGAAGTGTTTGTGCAGAGGGAGTATTAAGAACCTTACTTTAAATTCACCCAGTTAGGGCACTTCTTTATTTCCACACGATAAAGGGTGTGGGCAGAAAGTGAGGCTAGATCCATAGAAAGCCCAAGAAAGTAAGGTGTTGTTTTACTCAAGAAATTAAGGAGCCGAGGTCACAGGCTCCTTTTTTGGATGGCTGTGACAGAGAAAATGCAAGAATTCTGTTAGAGGAGCAGAGTTGGGACCCTTTACATTTATTTTAATTGCCAGTTTTCATTGTCACTGCAAGGAAAACTTCTAGATGTCTTCTTTTGTCTTTAAATTTACTGCCTTTGCAACACATTGGAGGCTAATGGCCGTAGTAAGAATATGCATACGCCTTTTTCTGATTTTTGTATTCCATCTAGACCACAGTTCTCTCCATCAGCATTTTGCACAGAGGCATTTTTGTTAAAATGTGTAATGTAAATGCATAATGTAAAAAGGGAAGATATTTCCAATCTAATTCCTTGAACTGTTAACGTATTTTGTGATGTGCAGAATTCCGTCTAGACGTAGCTTATATGGGAAAGTCCCGTACGTGGATCCAGCCACTTGGCACAATATTCTTGAGAGTAATATTCTTAATGTAAAAGTGATGCCTGCGAGTGTACAAAAGCCGTACTTTTCTTTTACTCATTCGCTGGAAAGAGCATTGTTCTGATATCACAGAATATTCTCTCAATTTCCTAAAAGTCATCCCAAACTTAATGTTTCAGATTTTACAAAATCTGTCTCAAATTGCTTTTATTTCTATTTGCAAAAGAACTTTTTTCAAGCAACAGTTTGCTTCTTACACAATAAGAAATCTCTGCTTACAAATGTTACTAAAACTGTATATCCAGTTGTGGATATATTTTGCTCTCCCGTGTGTCTGCAGATCATCCTGGTTATTAGAGTTGATGTCACCTCCTGTGGATGCGTGAAGGAGGCACAGAAGGGCCACTTCAAAGCTCAGTGCATTCGGTCGATCAGTTCTTAACCTTTTGAACCATGGGGAAAACTCGGGTGTCTTTGCTTTGCTCATGGAAATTATCTTGTGACATAAGTGAACTTCTTTACTCCTGAGCAGAATGTTAATTTGCCAACCGAATATTACGGTCGTGGTCCTCCAGCTCATCCCAGGCTGGCTTCCTGCAATTTTTCACTTGGCATATTAATATTGTAACTTCTAGTCCCAGCAAGAAGCAACTATTTTTATTAGAGGCTCACCAATCTAACAATCTTAACCAATTTTTGTTTACTGAGTTTATACTCACTGTTGTCATCCCTGGTGAGCTTCTTTCTTACCGAAAGAAGATGCGGGGTTTTTATGTGACTCTATTCCACTTTTCCCGCTACGTGTCAAGAAGCTTGTAAAGCTACGCCAGCGTGTGTGGGGGCTGTCCTCGATAGATTTTTTTATTACGATTTGGGTACTTTTGAAAATCCCTTTTAAAAAATTGTCATACTGCTGAATGAAGTTAGCCTTGATATTTTGGATGGGTTTCTATGTTCGCTTTCCTGGGATAACACGTTCAGTGATGTTATAGTGATGTGTTCTACATGTTGCTTTTTGGGTGGAAGATCTTGTAATGTTTCAAGTAAACAAAACATGTTCAACAACTCTTCATTTCTACAGATGGTGGCAGCAGAAGCAAGGCGGAACATTTTCCTTACGAGCAAGAAATCAAGTTCTTTGCTAAAGTACAGTATACACTCCATCTTGTTTTTCACTCCATGTGTTTGTCGACCGAATATACCCTTTAGATCTTTGCCTCTTTACGGAGCGTACTGGTCTACCAGTGTGAGTTCTACTACAAGTAAATATTTTGTGGCACAGGAATAAGTGCATGAGTCACGTAGGATGAATTTGCGCCCAGAATACTCGGTCTTATTTTCACTCCCTGCTCTTCCTGCCGTAATTCACAAATCACTTCAATCTGTAGGAATCAAAGTTCTCCTTACTGGGCTTTATCAAATGACAAAGAGGAAAAATAATCTACTTCTTCAGTTTGGTTGTTAGGATTTAAAAATGTACGAGCATTTCTTTTATAAAGGGGAAAAGAATTCATTTATAAATTATAAATTTAGGAAGTTGTACATGATAAGAAGCTTTACTGTGTAAGCTTTATTGTGGGACCCTTGTCCTACTCCTTTACAGCAGAGGAAGCTGAGGATCAGAGAGGGTGAATTGTTTATATGTAAAGTCTACCCAAATATCGTTTTTCATTCCATTTAATACGAATTTATCAAGAGTTTGCCCTAGGCCGCAAACATTCATGACTTCCTTTCAGCCAGTCAGGAACATTCATGGCTTCCTTTCAGACAGACTTCCTGTCTCCAGTCAGGAGACAAAGTGTTGCAGATTCTCCTCATTGGGTCCATTCACTGGCATAACATGTGCTGCGTGTGTCCAGTCTCTGTCAGGTGTTAGACTACGTCCCGGGGATTCCTGTTGCAAAGACAGAATGCCCTTGGGAAGCTTTCCTGTTCAAATGATGTTGCACTTAGCCTGAGGACGTAATGCTTTCTGTCAATTTATTTTCGAAGTCCTTGCATTTGCTGGTTCCTAGAGATCATTTGCAAAATGGCGTGTTGTTTTGATTGATTCATATTTGGCCTCTTTTATATGTTTTCAGATTTGTGCCCTTTATTGTAAGGGAGATTTCTCTTGTCTTTTCTTTCCACTCAGTATAGCACTCAAAATCCGTATCAAGCATCCCAAGTTTATCCTGGGGTGCGTATTGTTAGTTATCTATCATACTGCATTGTAATCCCCCCCTTGATAGCCAATTATTACAAATGCTGTATCCATGGCCTCTAATCATACATTTAAAATACATTCTTGTATTGCCCTGTGTACCCCTAGTGATTTTGTTTGCAGACACCTAATGTGGTTTGATTTCCTCTGAGTCTGTAATCCATTCATTCACATATTTATTGACTAGCTATTATGTGCCAATCAAAATCCAGGCAATGTCACAACTTTCAAGGAAGATCACAAATAATTTGTATGTTGCTGTTATATATAAATATGCCATATGCCACATTGTAGGAAAAATGTAGTTAGACTTGAGTCTAAATACTGATAATGCCAGTTATTTTTTTTTCATTTATTTATTTAACAAATATTTATCTAGCGCTTGGTGGAGGTCCCATAAAGTCCTAAGTACTGGTGACCCAGGGGTAAACAAAGCAGAGCAAAGAGTTGTTCTAGAAGCCAGGAGGGCACAGTAATGGGAAACAGACCCAGAAATGTGTATTGTTCTTGTGTATTTTATCGACTCTTATGGAGAAAGACATTCAGAATCACACGTATTAAATGCAAAATTGCAAATGATGTTCTAAGAACAGAGAATATGGGGATTTTACCTAGTTGAGGAGATCAGTGGACGGTTATCTGATGAAGCACTGAGCTGAGGCCTGCAGGAAGAGTGGAGTGGACGGGTTACGGGGTGTGGGAAGAGCATTTCAGACATAGGGAATGGCATGTGCAGAGCCTTGTGATGTGAGCACACAGGGCAAAGAAGAGGAATTCGCCAAAGGGCAGCAGGATTAGCATGCGGGAAAGGCCAGGCGGCTCTGAGAGAGGCCAGGTGAGAACACTGTGGAGGTAGGTAAGCAGCAGTGTGACTTTGAGTAGGTCACTCACTTTCTGCACCTCAGTTTAATACCTGTAAAACGGATGATGACGCTTGCCACACAGAGTAGTTACTAGGAGCAGTGAATTGACAGTGTGGAGTTGCAATTCTCACACACACACACACGCATGCATGTGTGCACACACACACACACACACCCTCCAACCTCCCCCCACACCCGGGACTAGAGATAGCAGGGTAAGATTTGGGAGAGGCATACTCTAAAATCGTGCCAACTGGCAGGGCTGTGGATACTGGGGGACTGCTGCAGGTGGACGGAAGTCTGGCTGCCCCAGAGTCTCCGTCCACCGTGTAGATCTGTTTTCTTTTCCTTTCTTTCAGGTTGTGCTTCCTTTAATTGATCAGTATTTCAAAAACCATCGTTTATACTTCTTATCTGCAGCAAGCAGACCCCTCTGTTCTGGAGGACATGCGTCAAACAAGGAGAAAGAAATGGTGACGAGGTAAAGAGCTACACAAAATAAAGACTGTTGTTGAGCGAAGTGTATTTGCATTTGAGGAAGAGCATCTGGGGACCTTGAGGTGGGAGCATGCAGTGTCTACCCGGCTTCCCTGACCTTTGGCCCCTTGGGATCAAACACGGAGGAGGATGCTCTCTACAAGTTAATACGTGTGTTCTAAACGTTGAGTTTTCTTCCATTTTGCTGCTAAATATCATGCTGAATAGAAGGAATAAGACCCCCATCACAGAATCCACAGAGTCATCACCGCATTAGTATTTGTGATAAATGGTGCTTTTTCTAAAATTTTTTTTAACGTTTATTCATTCTTGCTAGAGAGAGAGCGCGAGTAGGGGAGGGGCAGAGAGAGGGAGACACAGAATCCGAAGCAGGCTCCAGGCTCTGAGCTGTCAGCACAGAGCCCCATGTGGGGCTCAAACCCACAGAACCATGAAATCATGACCTAAGCCGAAATCAGACAGTTAACCAACTGAGCCACCCAGGTGCCCCAGTAAATGGTGCTTTTAACATTACTTCCTCTAAAATTTCTGAGTCTACTATATTTGCCACAATTTTGAAAAATAAAGGAGTTTTTCTGGAGGGCAAAATCCCATTTACAGAAATCAAATTTTTCAACATTTGTGTGTAAATAATGACCTATCTTGGAAGAAAATGACGTAAAAATATGTACCTTTCTGAAGATTTGCCCCACTCAAGTTGGCAATTTAGCAATGCTTTCTCATTTCTGTTTAAACCCAAGTATTCCTCATAGATTTATTTGTGATTCTGCTGGGTATTTCAAGTCTGATTTTTCAAAATATGCCAAAATTTAGTACATATGTGATCGATTACAGAGCAAATCTATTTCTGGATTATCAAATTACACAGGAGTCCATACCAAGCTTCTAGATTGTATTTGAAAGAAGTTTCTATAAAAATGAGTAACCGAGATAAAGCAGGCTACAAGCTTTCCTTGGACTTGACTTTAATGATATGTGACGTCATGTGATGTCAGATTGCAACCGCGTTAAAAATGGCCCCAAACTTCTTCAAATAATAGTCTTCCTGTGAAGTTGGTATAACCGATTATAGTTAAAGTAACAGAGAATCCATCCAGTGACGCACTTTGTTTCCACCACCTTTGTTACCAGAAAAAAGGGGGTGAGGGGCTACTTTCCAAGATATGAATCTCCTCCTGACTTTGGAGTGGTCTTCTTTCCGCTCTCCCTGGGAGAGAGAGGCCCAGCTCTCTGCATTTCACTAGTGCCCTAATCGCTTCACCAGCCCACCATCCCCGGTGGCTAGAAAATGCCAAGGCATCAAGTTACCTTTCAATACCAGAGAGCCCAGGCTATTGCAGTCTCCTCACCCCCGCCCCCTTCCCCCATCAGAGTAGGATTTTGTAACAGCAGCTTTGTTCCCAGAGTTGGTAACTTGGGTATCAGTCAATTATGTAAACAAAGAGAAATACAATCAAAGAACATAGGAAAGAATACAAATAAAAGTATGCAAATTCTATTCTCCCCCCCTCCCATCATGTTTGTATCTCCATTCCATTTTCATTCTTACTCTGAGAGCTGTTCACTGACCACAGAGGTAACTAATTTTCCTTTGCCCACTGCCCCTCATAGAAGAAATTGGAAGAGCATCGCTATTCTGTGCGAGCCTCAGTTGATGTGGTTTGGGGGCCTGAGATGCCCACTCTTTATTAACGCCTCACCAGAAGGTTTTCTGTAATTTCATCTTCAGATTTTCTCCACCTCAGGCAACAGGGACTGGCACATTTTATTTCTCCCGTTGCCATTTCCAAAAGAGAAATGGTCTCACATTCCAAATTATAAGAGTGAGATGCATGCACACTGATAGAAGTACCTTATTTCATCACAGCCCTTGAGTACCAAACATAGGTAGATTTTAACCTCAGAAAAATTCTGGGATGAAAAATGAATAAAGTTAATGATAAAGAAATTACGGCACATGGAAAATGCTGTCTGGTCATTAACATTATGATGGATGCAAATATATCACATCTTAGGACAATGGTTATTTAAAAAGTAAAAAATATATATATTTATTTAAATAATATGGATCAAGATCTTTAAAAAAACCTCTAAATTTGGGTGTGTAGAAGAATATTGGTAGGGAAGAAACTTGATTTTAATAGTTGTTTCCCTTGGGTAGCATAGTAGAGGTGTTTTTCTTACCATTTTTATATATTTTTAAAGTGGAAAAAGTCTTACTTTTCTGATCATAAATCTGTGTCTTAAAACAACCCAGATCACCGTCACACTAACAAAAACCAACTACAAATTTTTTAGACATGTTACAATGGGATCACTGAAATTTTATAAATGTGATTTCTTACCACTTCAGTTAAATATTACTTTGGCAGGGAAAATAGGTTAAAAAGAAAAAAGGGTGAAATACAAAGAAAAAAACCCCACTGTCCCTGCTACTGTGAATAAGCAGTCATGCCTTCACACCCATGTTGAACACTGCAGGAGTAGTTTTAATTCGTATTTAACAGTTGCGTGTAGCAGTACGGCATGGGTCTAAATTAACCTCCACATTTAAGAATGGGTTGTCGCCATTAGATGTGTGGATACTTCTTGGCACTAGAAATCATATGTCGAGCATTTACTGTGTCTAAAGTCAGCACCATCATGTCTGTGGAAAAGAGGAAGGTGTGCTCTCTGCTCTCTGGGAGTGTAGCTGGCAGTACCTAAGTATGTGGGTAAAAATATAATTCTAGTAGAAGAAAGCCATGCAGTGCTGTGGGATTCAAGGACAAGGAAGACCACATTGGGTGGGTATGGACAGGCTAGAGATATACAGAAGACACGATAATTCAGAATTGACCTTCAAGAATCTGTAGGTTGTAGATTAAGAAGGGGGACTATTTTCTACGTGTCGATAACGTATAGATAGAGTGTAGAACATAGCAATTTAGGGTAAGTGTGGGTGACGTAGATTCATTATAGAACCCTGTCATTGATATTAACTGCTGGAACAAGGCACCTTCTTCCTTTTTTCTTTTTAATTTTTATAATTAATCTTTTTTACTTAATTCATGAGCCCTATGAAGCCATTGGGATAAAGGGCAGTCTGGCCACAACAGTGGGATTGAGAAGTGTGAGCTTGCTAAGAGGCCGTGACAGCAATGCAGGCTGTCGTGAGGGAAGTGCTACCTTAAAGAGGCGGTTCTACCCACAGATCCATTCAGCACGCGTTTCTGAATGCCCGCCATGCCGTGCCCAAGGTGCCGTCCTAGGACTGAGGATGATAAACACACACATATAACGATGCAGTTCCAATTAAGTGCACTTAAAAGTGCAGCTGAGTACCTGCATACATGTAGCGCTAACCACTTAACAAGTTGTGACGAGTGCAATGGAAACATATATGAAGTACTGGGAATACGGAGGAGATGTACGTGGAGAGAGGAGTTGGATGTGGGAAGCACGGACGAGAGAAAATCACAGACCTTGGCAGTGGGTCATATGGCAGGTCCCCACGGTGCTGGAGTTTCAGTGCTGAGTGGTTGGAACAATATTGCTGGCAACAGTAAAAAAAAAAAGAAATGACGGAGACCTGGTTTTGAGAAGAAGGGGTTCAGTTTGGTTAGGTAATTACTGAAGCATGGCAGGTTATTCAGCCGGAAATGGCATATTTGGAGATTATCTGTACCCATGTTATGCTCACAGTTCTGGAAGCAGATGAAGGGAGAGTAGACAGAGAAGCAAAAAGGTCTGAATTCCAAACCTAAGAGACTCATTACATCTGAAGGATTTTCAGAAATGGTTCTTTGAAGAACACTGAGGATGATTTATTAGGGAAGAAGGGGAAACATATCGCCGTAAAACAGAACTGAGAGTTTCCCAGATTGAAGTAGTCAGTGATGCCAAGTACCATAGGCAGCTTTCCAGGACCGAGATTGAAAAAGTATTATTTGATTTACTGATCAGCAAGCACCGAGAATTTCTAGGGAGTGTTTCTGTAGAGCAGTGAGACATCAAAGCCAAGGAATTGTAGGTGCGTTATGAATTCTTTTTCTTAATTGTTTTACTGTTTATTTTTGAGAGAGAGTGTGTGCATGTGTGAGCAAGCGAGCGTGGTGGGGCAGAGAGAGACGGAGACACAGAATCCAAAGCAGGCTCCAGGCTCTGAGCTATCAGCACAGAGCAGAGCCCGATACAGGACTCGAACTCACAGACCCTGAGATCATGACCTGAGCCAAAGTTGGATGCTTGACCCACTGAGCCTCCCAGGCGCCCCAATGAATTATAATTTCTTAAGAATGTTAGTAATGGAGGGATATACATACACAAAGAGAAGACAGTATTATGGAGAATATTTTTAGAGAAACTATAGGCCAAAGCTTATAATAATAAAACCTTATAGTTGATATACAAACTCCACTCTAAAAGTTGATGATAGCACAGGAGGGGAAATAGATACAGTTTGTCCTTTGTGAGAACCTGGTTTTCTACATATCTACATATTTCTATTTCTACATATCTACATATTTCTGTTTCTACATATCGGCTACTGATTAGGAACAACCAAAGTTAAGAAGCATTGCTATTTTAAGAAGTCATTTTTTTCAAACAGGTTCTCAGACATTCACTATAATCCAACAGAATCGGACACAGAATAATGCTGTGTTTTTCATCACAGGAAAATGTCCTAGGTCTGGATGAACTGGGTTCAAACATGATCCTAGCATTACAAATTCAACATCGTCTCAGAATGTTTCACACTGATACGACAGAGTCTCAGTTCATAAGAAGTAAAACAAGATCACTTAAAACAGGTTGATATACATATAGGGATCCAAAATATGTACAACTCTGACAAGCGCTCACTCTCTAGAGATGGAGACAGATAGTTGTTGAATTAGCATAAGGCTCAGTGGGTCAGAGCACCTGGAGAACGTTGCTTATTTTATTATCTCTTTTTTTGTTTACATTATAACACAGAGACAGTGCAGCTCAGGAGGCTAATATCTCATTTTAAATATAATACCTGCTTGAATAGATCATTGTTTTAAAAACTTTTAGAACTGCTAGGAGACGACTCAAGACCTCAAATTCACTGAGAGATTTGCCGATGCATGTTCTCTTGGAAAAACTGTACGATACCCTTTATAGTTATTTTTCATTAATACATTATTCTGCATTGTTACAGAAATGAGAGATGATAGCCAAAACTTACTGTTAAAAAAGTCAGCATCACAGACGTGATTCTCCATCTCCTTTCTCCAGTCCTGCCGTGAGCTTGTGACTCCATTTTTTTTCCATGGCATCGTCCATATCCCCAGTCTTGGGGAGGGCATGTCTATACACTGCTGTTTATGGGAGAGCTTCACGAGACAGAATGGGGCAGTCAGGATCTAGCTGGGACAGTCAAGCTGGGTGTGGGTGGTGTGGTACACATGGGTCATCAAGGCTAGAGCTTCCATCAAGTTCTGGCTACGCAGAGCCTCTATCTGAGAGCTCAGAAGTGTTTGGGTAGATGTGAAAATAGTATCATTTGCAATATGGAAGGTTACATGTCATGGTAGAGATTGACACATGACCCCTAGGAGAGGCTGGAAGGAACCCTTTCAGCTTGGACTGGGAGTGGTGAAGGAGCACTGGGTGTTAACAAAGGCTTGTTGGAGTAGACATGTCTGTTGCTGAATCCTGAGGGATGGATAGAAGGGAGTATAGCAGGGAAGGGAGTGAAGGGTATTCCTGAGAAGACCTGGAAGGAGCCCGCCAGACTGCAGCCTGGGGACAAGCTGGGACAATGGCAGGTCTTTCCCAGGTTCTGATGTGAGAGTTAGTACATATCAGTGCTGTCCTGCTGAATGCAGGCCACCCTTATTTGGGATCTCCCACAGCCGATCCCCAGGAACACAGTGGCCCAGAAACTTGCTCTGGAGGAGATAGAAATAAGCTTAAGTCAAACATTAGCATGAAGAGCCCCTGAAGTTATTGCATCTGCAACATTTTTCTGAGTGATTATCAGTTGTTCAAATTCTATCTCTACCTCACTGTGTTCAAATTCACTGGATGCTTTGGTGTATATGGAAGGGGTATGCTCACAGTTGGAAAGAAGGAAAGTTCAAATGATAAACATACTGAACCTTAAAGTGACATTTCATGCCCCAAGTGCCATACTTCTGATTTTAAATAATAATCCATAACAACAACAACAAAAATTCTAGAATTTCAGTGGTACATTTGGGCAGATAAAATTTTAAGCGTTTTCCTTGTGCTATTTGAGTAGTCATATTCTTAAGGGGTTCATATAGATTGCTTTTATATTAATTAGCTTTGCTTTCAAATTTTTTTTGGTTTCTTTACTTATAATATGTGCTTTTTTAACCATGTTTGTTAAAGATATGCACTCAAAGATTCTTTCTTTAATACCTCTACTCCACATTCTGCTCAGAAAATTGATTCTTTCTGCGTGACATCATGTTGCTTTTTTCCTGCTCATATATCAGCTGTTTATTTTTCTTTTTTTTTCTTCTTTTTTTTTTTAATTTATTTTGATTTCTCCCTGTCTTTTCTATCTTCCCTCCCCCTTCCCCCCTTTCTCTTTTGTTTTTCTTTTGTCTTCAGCCTATTCTGCAAACTTGGAGTTCTTGTCAGGCATAGGATTTCACTATTTGGTAAGGAGACCCTTGCAACCAATACTAGCATGGCCATCACTTGGTTTTCTTTGCCAGTTTTGCACTGTGTTGTGTGCTGCTATGTTGCATGAATGCATGTTTGCATGGCTGCATGCATGGTTGTCATAGGCCAAGATAAGGTCCTCGAGGTCGTTTGTAAGTAGCATTCTCTATGGTGAAATTGAAGACTGTAACTTTTTTATGCTGGTCCAAAGCACATTTGAAAATCAAAAGGTTGCATTATGAAAGAGAAAATGAATGGACATGGCGGCTTCTGCCATCTTTTATTTCGGAGGGGTGAAGTGCAACTGGGCCCTTGAATTCATTTGTCTGTTTCTGATAGATTAAAGAATGAGCTGTCATAAGTCAGAAAAAAAATTTTAACTGCTCTTCTTCTTCTTCTTCTTCTTCTTCTTCTTCTTCTTTTTTTTTTAATGCTCTTGACTACAGATTTGCATGTTGACTGCATTCCAGACATTGGAGCTTCATGGTAGAGGCAGTGAGGCAAGGACCTCCCGTGGCAGAAGTGACTTTTCTAGCATCACCCACCCCATAGTTAGCTTTTGTTTGTGTCTGAGAATTCGCGCGACTGAAGTCCACGCACCGCGCACCTGCTTTTGGACAGCCATGCAGGGCAGTCACCCACATGCCACAGATTCTCCTTGCCGTGGGGCTTTAGGACTCCAGAGCAGCTGGTAGAATTTGTGTTTTCATTTCCTGCATCTGCTTTTGTAAAGCACGAAAGCAAACTTTAGCTCTGTGCACTGTCGGTTTTGAGACAGTGTTGGGGTGATTTTAGCAGCGAAATATTTAGTGTACTGATACAGATGTAAGTGCAGTTCCATTCACAGGAAACGCTAAGGGTTAAGTCATTTCTATATAAGACACAGTGAATATTTTTTAAAGTTTATTTAGTTATTTATTTTGAGAGAGAGAGAGAGAGAGAGAGAGAGAGAGAGGGAAAATCCCAAGCAGGGTCTGCACAGTCAACACAAAGCCCAACACAGGGCTCAAACTCGGGAATCGTGAGATCATGACCCGAGCTGAAACTAAGAGTCAGACGCCTAACCAACTGAGCCTCCCAGGCGCCCCTGTATTTCATTTAAATTGCCTGAGTTTTTGCATTCATGTTTAAGTTGTGCCACATCATTGGGCAAAATGTCTTCAAAGTAATTTCTAGTTGACTGATTTTTGTTTGACTTTTCCTCGACATAGAAAAATTTGTATGAACATTGTGCAGACAGAATTGTTAGAAACTCTTCAACTTTCTCATAATAACAGTGGATTCAAGTGTCCTCCATTCGTCCTCTGAGAGTGCTGTCTTAGTCTGTATCGCTCTGATGGGGACCCCTTTTCTCAAGGGCAGTGTTTACTTTCTTACTGATGAGCATGGTAATATTTCCGTTGTGCTGTTTCTCAGTTCTTACCGTAAATTCTTGGCTTCTCAGTTTATATTTCACTATAATTTCTTTTAAAAATTTTCTGAGGTGTTCCATATATGGAGCAAAGTGCACAAATCTTGAAGACAGCTTGATGATACAGTTTGTTGAAATTTTCCATCCACGCATACATGTCCATTTGCTCAGATCAAGACATAAAACATTTCCAGCACCCCAGAAGCCTCCCTTGTGCCATTTCCGGTTTATAACCTCTGCAAAGGCACTACGTATAGACTGCTTTTACTGTGGATAAATTTTGCCTATTCTTTAATCTCCTATGTTTCTTAAGGGACTAGTAGTCGAAGCTAAATGCATTGATGAAACTTGTACTATCTCCCCATGGAGACAAGCCAGACTTTAACATTCATACCATCCCTACATGATGCCGATACTCCATTTAGGCATTGTATTTTAAATCCTGTAGCCTTTAAATACTATTATTTTTATTTTTAACAGGAATTTACTGGAGAGCTACTTTACCCCAAAAGCGTACTTGTGTGTGTCTTCTTTATATTATTCTAGCGTCTCTGGTTTGCAGGGTTTCAAATTTGTTTTGGCATTTGCCTATACAATAATACGAACTTCAGGAGGCCTTTGTTAATCAAACATTTTCTAATACAGTCTTGTCAAGTTTTTAGAATCTTTAAGTCTTATCCATATCACGTTTACACATGACAGTTACCACCTGGCTTCAGACTCTAGTAGGATGTCCCAGAAAAATAGTGGGCTTCAAGTCGGAAAACCTAGATATAAATGCTTTATTTGTAACTAGACCAGCTGAATGATTTGGACGAGAGACTTGATTTCTCTGAACCTTTGTTTTTGTTTTTGTTTTTCCATTAAAAAAAAAAAATTAACGTTTGTTTATTTTTGAGACAGAGACAGAGCGTGAGCAGGGGAGGGGCAGAGACAGAGGGAGACACAGAATCTGAAACAGGCTCCAGGCTCTGAGCTGTCAGCACAGAGCCCGACGCGGGGCTCAGACCCACAAACTGTGAGATCTTGACCTAAGCCAAAGTCAGCTGCTTAACCAACTGAGCCACCCAGGCACCCCATGTTTTTCCATTTTTAAACTGGGTCACAATAAATACTAATCTTAGAGATCAGTTGCGCATAGCTGATCGAATGTAAGGTAATGAACCTTGAAGGATTATGTAAACTGCAGTCTTAACAGCTTTCAAACCTAAGGGATTCCTAGGGGAACCTAGAGGACTTAGTTCTTTAAAGTACAAGCATAATTAAGCCTTTATAATTTACCCATTTCCAGAATGAAGTCGAAGTGGTATATCAACTATTTATTTTTGATGTATCAGTTCTGCCATTGTGGATTTCCCTAAAGAGAGAGACCTAATGTACACACACACACACACACACACACACACACACACACAAATACATACATAGTGGTCCTTTATAGTCATATTATCTGTGATTTTTTCCTTTCTCCCTTCTCTAACATGATACCATTTTTTTTCCAAATTCTGTTAGACAATACACTGATGATCAAAGTGGTTTTTACTGTACTGCTTTAAATTTACAAACTGTTTATGACTTAAGCTAAGGACAGATTAAGACAGTTAAAAGTTGAGGTTGACAAAGGAATGCCCGGGCTTTGTGTCTTAGGAGCGATGACCAGAAGTAAAGATGTAGAAAGACACACCCTCAACATGTCAGGAAGGTGCGATTGGAGACACAAGGGGAATATTCATACCAAGAGACAAAATATTCGTCTTGGTGGTAGTGATTGTGGTGAGTTCAGGATCTGATGAGTAAGGGACTCTTTATTCCAAGCTGGCTGCCAAATTAAATTGTTGTTATACTTCCAGACTTCATCTGTAGTTGAAGGACTTTTCTGATTAATTGAAGATTCCCCACATTTGGACTTCTATATTTGTGTATGTCTTTTATCGACTTAAAAATGCATTCTCTACATTGAGGCACACTATTTAAGAACTAAAGAGACCATCAGTACAAAACGTTTTATGCTTCATATATTTTTTTTGAGGCATTTAAACCGTTCCATTTTATATTTGAAAAAGCTAAGTCTTTTAAAAGCAGAAACAGGCCCTATTCCCCACAGAACAGTAGTTCTGATGAATCCATTAGAATGCTTTATGGAAAAATAAAACAGTGAAGAAATTAGTATCTTCATTATACATATATATATATATATAGGCCTATATATATATAGGCTTCCTGTTTGAATTCTGACATCCTCGTTAGTGATTATAAGTTGGTGTACTCTTGTATTTAAGAAAATTGGTTGGGACATGGACGGGACCCAGGCAAGTTGAGAAGTGATGGGAATCCCATTTGCCATTTTCAAGGATCCATTGGCAACTAATGAAATATTGCTTTGTAATCCCACCATTTTTGCTCACTTTTGCTAAGTGGAAATTCTGATTACAAATGCCAACGATGGTAGAAAATACATAAGCCCTCCTGCTACAGCCTGTTTAAGCCTTTCAGTCAGTTGGAAAGGAAGCAGAATCTGGTAACTAAGCCTCCAGCAGGGACAGCCGTGGTGCCACAGGTGTATGCAAATCAGGACTTCATAAGGGCTTTATTTTTATATGTGAAATAAATAATAATAAAATATAATCTAATGCCTTAATAGCATTCATTTGATGCATTCATTCAATATTTATTTTTAATTTTTATTAAAAAATTTTTTAATGTTTAATTATTTTTGAGAGAGACAGGGACAGAGAATGAGCAGGGGAGGGGCAGAGAGAGGGAGACACAGAATCGGAAACAGGCTCCAGGCTCTGACAGCTCAGAGCCTGACGTGGGGCTCGAACTCATGAACCAGGAGATCACGACCTGAGCCGAAGTCAGACACTTAACTGACCGAGCCCCCCCAGGCACTCCATCAATCAGCATTTATTGTGCTCTGCTGTGCGGGGTCATCCTTTCAGGGTGTGAGAATAGGAAAATGAAGATTTCTGCACTTCTCCACTGTGACCATCTGAGGCCGGTCCAGGCATCGGTCATCTGTCCTCTTGGACCAAACTGCCCATTCTCCCTGAATCCCCTCTTGCTCTTCCAGAATGTGCTCCACAGCAGCTGCATCTTCCCACAATCCTGTCTTTCCTATCACTCTCCTGCAGGTTCAGTGGCTTCCCTTTTCTTGAGAAGAAAATTTCTGAATCTGGCCACATTAGTGTTTCATAGACTATCCCCTAAGTATCCCTCCATCCACCTTCCCCGCCATGTTCTGGCCTGCTGTCTGTGCTTCAGCTTAAGTGGCCTTCTCTCTGCTTCTTAAAAGTATCATATCCCTTTCTGTGCAGGGTCTTTCCACCTGCTGTAATTGCCTACTAGAACGGGGTCCCCAGACATAAGTCTCCTCTCCAGTCCTTCACACTCAGTGGAGTAAACTGCTCACCGCACCCTTCAGATTTCAACCCAAATATTACCTACTCTGTCAGGAAAACCTTCCCCAACCTCCCTGATTTTAGTCCCTCCCCCTACTCTTAGAACATTCTGTTCACTCGAGTACCTGTCCTCCATGATGTCCCCAGAGTCACATCCCTGTCTGGCACAAACCTCTCGGCTCAC